AGAATTTACACGACTTACATTCATTCAGATAATGAATTATATTTAAGTGTTTTTTCAGCCATGTGTCCAATTGTATTTTTGTGCATCTCATTTTTATCTCTCTTGGAATATAGACAGATTTAATTCCAAACAGTAGCAAGGTTTCTGCTTCTGAATTATTTATATTCTCTTTCCAGTTCAATATCTAATTCTGCTTCCCAATTATTAAATGTTGTTCCGGTCTACTGAGTTTTCAGCTTCTGAGATATTTAGATATAAAAAGGGAAGACCCAACTGCATTTTTTTCTTGGTTTAGCATTTACTGACAACCATGCCTTCTTACCATCTGTTCAAATTAAAATCCTCAATCTTGTTTTACTTTTTATGACTCACTGTCAGCATAAAGATACCTCCTCAGATAAATTAAGCAGTGGAACAATAAAAGATGCTCTGATTTTCACAGCCATCATTGTGCAAGAATTTTCCCTGTCAGAAAGTAGAGGAGGATTCGGTGCACAGATAAATAATCCATCTCTCTACCAAAGAAGCAGTCTTGAGTATGCTATATTACTGGTTTCCCTGTATTATAGTTTTCTTACACCTGTCAGTGGGAGCAAAAACAAAGAAGATATTACAGGCATCATTTTAATTCTTCCTGATTGTTTCCATGAGAACTTGTACATGTTACTTTGTATTAATTTTTTTGGACCTGTTAAAAATACTGAATACTTATAATAGCGAGTTCCTGTGATGTGGATTCAGGACCACTATAATCGTAGCAATACATATAATAATAATCTATAATCAGTTCAAGGAACAACTGGATTAGATACTTGGATCTATTATCTGCTAGAAACCACATAGGCATAATCAGCCTAACTGGTCCCCTCTTTGTCACCTCTTGTATTCTAACAAAATGGACCAGCAGCCACGTTGAAGAGAAGCTTTCCGAGACTTGTAAATAGAAAACAAACTCCCTCAAGTCTCCTGGAAGTGTTGTTTCTTCCAAAAATATTTTCAAATATGTTCTTCTTCTCTTTGAGATCTGTGCTGCTTCAGACCAACAGCGTCATTTGAGGTAAGACGTTTTTGTAGAAATGGACTTGTGCACTATTTTTAAATCTCCCGGTATATATTGTAAAAAGGCAGACCCACTTGTGATTCTTACTTTAAAACTTCTGATATCAATTCACAAAACCTTTTCCCCCAATGGGTGTAACATCGTGTAAACACATTCAATGGAATTGTCCATCCATCCATTTTATAACCTCTTCATCCAATTCAGAGTCCCGGGGCACTGGAGCCTATCCTGGCAAGCAGGGGTTGCAAGGCAAAAATACAGGATGGCAGTCCATCCCATCAATAGACTGTAATGTGATGACAAAAATAATACTTTAGAGGGAATTAACTAAGACGTGTACAGTAGCTACAGGGTTAGCTGCCGGGGTTAACTACTATAGATGTGTGTGTGTGTTTTTTGTTTTGGTTCAAAATAGGTGCAATATTCAGTTTGGGAAGAAATTGATATATAGCATTAAAATTCCACTTGCAGTAACTTAGTAATTCAAATCAATCACTTTTTTGTGTTTTCATCTACAGTATCTATGACTTCTAGACTTTCAACAACCAGCTTGTTAGACAATGTTTTCAAATGAACTGTGAATATCCAGAAATATGAAATATTACTCTTCTTGTTTGGAGCATATAGTTAAGTAGTCCAATCACTGTACATCTACTGTATTTCTACCTGATAGTAAATATGGTGCTGTCAGTGTGAGACTTATTGTTTGGGTATTTTTCTATTTTACTTAAGGTCAGAAGAAAAAACTAATAAAAATTCTTAATAAACATACTGCAGGTATTATATGTTTTACCCTATTTTAACCATACAGTACCTGAGGCATTTTTTGTTACTGTAAAATTTAATCAAAACCTTGAGTTAATTATAAATTACAAAACTAACACCTGTTTCTTGACACTTTATGGTAAAAAAAAACATTTTTCACCCAAATAAAAATGGTGCTGTCTAGGTTTTGTAATAAGTACAGTAATTGGAGTGTAGGTTCAAGGGTTAGATTTAAAGTTAGGTTAGTATTAACTGTAGAGCTTTAATCAGAGATGCGTGTCTGTATCATTTTCACTTGCAACCTCACTCTGAAACTCACTATTGAAAGAGGAGTTTTATTATACTTTTGTTCAGCTGCAGTAATTTGTCTAGGATAATCTTCTTGTGCTGAATCTCACACTGAATTTCGGAGGACATGATGTGCTACAAGTGCAATAAATACTCAATTTAAGACATCAGTAATATTACGATTTTCACAATTTTCGGGACAGATGTCATCTAAGATAATTCCAAATATTTTAGAGGACATCAAATTGAATCGATTTGAATTCAATTAATTGTAAACTAGAGCTGAAAGCTTTGACACTTGGCTTTTTTTTTACTGAAATAGTTGCACCACTCATGCTTAAATTAAATATAAAAAAGCTGGAGTGCAAAAATATCTGCCCCACATTTAACTACATGACTCATTATTGTAAATGTAGAACTACTAATTTGCCAGATTAATTTGAAACTGCCTTCTGTGGTTTCAAAAGTCCTTGCAGTGTATTTCAGGCAAATTAGTCATGATGTTTATTTTTTTTTGTAGAAAAAAAAATTAAGCTGTAATGTGAACTGCACCACATAGATAATTTAGCTGTTGACCAAATTTAACAGTTGACCAAAGAAAATGATGCACACTGTTACTTTAATCTCCAAGAAAACTGGCAAGCCCCACCATTCTCACTGTAAAAAATATTCTAAATCTAGGGATGCAAGGAGTCACAGGTCTGAGATCAGTTTAATAGAAATGAGAACGGCCATTTCCTGAAAACTCTCTCAAGCCAGGTCTGGAGTAAGGACCTCAGGCCTGAGTCAGATTTCTGCATCAATATGCAGGAGAACTGTTTTTGATAGATATAAAAATTTTGTATTGCAGAGGTATTCGCCGTCCTCAGTCTATACTTGGAAGAAGCACCTTTGGTAACTATTGTAGCTGCAAGTCTTTTTGGATAAGAGTGACACATTTGTGTACTGGGATGGTGTAATTTTCTCCTAATCTTGTTAGTAAACTTGTTTGAGTTCTGTCAGAGTCAGGTTGATTGGGGATCATTGATGGACAGTGTTTTTCCAAGTATTGCCACAGACTTTCTGTCAGAATCAAGATAGGACTTTGAGGTTTCAAGGACTTTTACCCTCTTTTTGTTAAACCATTCCAGTGTATCTGTGGCTTTGTGTTTCGGTCATTTTTCCAGTTGAAAAGTAAGTTCTCATTGCCGTTTCAGATCCTTGGCAGACTGGAACAGGTTTTCCTCCTTGCCTGTGATTTTTTCCATCTTCCCCTCAGTTATGACTAGCTTCTCAGTCCTTGTCAATGACAAGCAGCCCCTAAACATAAAGCTGTTGCCACCATGCTTGACAGCAGAGAAGGTGCTGATCGAGTCAGTGATGGTTTTTGGGACGTAATATTTCGCATTAAGACCAGAAAGGTCCAATTCTGTCTCATCTTACCACAAAACATTTGCAGTATCACATCATTGCTTTGTTTAAAAGCCAGTGTGGTATATGAGTAGGCCCAATGAACAAACAGAAGTCCTCAATTATTTACATTTTTTTACCAAAACAACTTTCTAGATTATTATTATTATTATTAAACATCTTAATCAAACTCTGAACTGCTTTGTTTTCATTTTGCTAAGTGATTATAGGGAGACGCTCAAAGGATTTGACAGTAAAATTAAAATGGCATTCAACGGTGATGAATGGATTTGGTTGCTCTAGGCATGGGATTCATGTTTTTTTTTCACACATCCAGTCCCGTGGAAACAGAGAATTTATAAATGAGAGGCAAAACATTTCTTAAAATGAATTGTATTTTTAGAAATATACCCGTCTGACAGAAATAACAGTGGTCTCTTTGTTGTAAATAGTGCAGTTAATCTTGTGTGCTTGTACATTCAGAATAATGTATAGCCTTAGGAGTTTTATAATTAGAGCAAGTCTATTCATTTGGTTGTCATGAAGTTCCCTGTTTGATAAACTACTGAAGTCATAATAAATGTTACCAGTGGCCTTTATTCTTTGTAATGGCAGTACTGTACTTTGTAAAATAGTCCAATCACACACTAGGTCCAAAAATGTTTTTAACCAGGTCATAACTTCAGTAACAGTAACAGATGTACAGCAATAACCCCGTTTATACAAACCTTGTAAAAATAATAGTAAAGGGAAAATGTTTTGGATTTTAGTTTTAAAACGCCTTCTCTTAAGAAAAATACCGCTATGAGAAATGCGTTGTGTCCTGGGTCCTCGGTTGTTTGACACCTTTTAGTTGCCAGGAACAGAATCAGCTAGCTTCTATCACTTCAGTACTAACTAGACGTAATCGCCATTTCTCATTAATCACATGAATCACTTGTAGGGGAAAATAAAATTGGCAGCTTTACCAGAGATTGTGGTGACTAGATCGATCATAAGCAGAAGTAAACGTACATTAACAATA